GTATGTTTGATAGGCATTAAACAACTTTAAAGAAATACCATTTCAGGTTTTCTTATGCAGAGCTACTAAGTAATACAGCAATAAAATAAGTCTGTCACAACAGAGTAATGTTTCATTAAACGGCCAGATCTTCAGGAAAGTTTGGGTTTCATTACTGCAGGCACATGCCTACCTTTACTTCTGAAACACAATCTCAATTTCACCAGCATAGATAACACAGAGCAATTTGGTCTCGATTTGCAGAGAATTCTAAATTATCATGGTTATACGCCAATTACAAGATGCAGTGTTCTCTCTGATGTGCCTGAAGAAAATACCTGATAGACAGAAACAGGAGCAGGCAAATCATTTACACCAAAAACTTCTTGTCAAATGAAAGCAGTCATCTGCAACAGTAAAGAATGAGAAATATTAAATTTAAATAGTAATTTATCATTCAGATAAAAAAAATCTTAATTTGCTTTGTTATTTATGTGTTCATACTTATTTATACATGCCATGATGGCAGGTCTATCAAGCTAGTTTTACTCACATTTTTAGAGCCCCATCAATAACACAGGGCTCAAGGACAGCACCTGGTTTACCGAAAAGACAGTTTAGTTTACTTTTTATTATTATAGCTAATTCATAATAATTCTATTTGGGATCTGGCTAATGCTACAATATTTCTTTTCAAGGAAAGCTTTAAAAAAAGAATCTTTTAAGATTGTTTTGAAACTTCTGAGCTGTGCATAATACTTCCCACTTGAGCTAATTGTTTTTGAAGGGAAATTTAATTTTAAAAAGTATGTTTTTCTAACTAATGGGAACCTGTGCTAAAGTAAACAATGAGTCCACCCTGATAGGAGTTTTTGCTCTATCTTTACCAAAAGTAGGAAGGAAAGACATGCAATAGCATGCTGAAACACATGCAGTAGCAGAGTTGTTGAATTTCAAATAACAATTAGAAGACAATTTTCTATTCCATTTCTACTTGAGACAGATCATCTTGCCCTGCCTCATTTAATATTAATTGGTTATGTTCCTGTCTGTAGAAGAAAATATAAATGCAGTTCCCTAATCCACTTACTTTCTTGTTTCAAATATACTTCTGATCTTGTCAACAAACTCCTGTCCTCACATGCCACTTTTGTACAGAAAAAGAGTGTAAAAGACACATCTTTTCAGGACTGTCACCAGCTCCGAATATAACATTACCTTAAACTTCACTTACCTGCCAAGGCAAAGCCAAAGAAACATAAAATGGGCATGAAAAGCCAAAGTTTCCACCTCCTTGGGGGGTATTAATGAGTAACTTCATGGCTTCAATTATGTCTTATCTTCCCAGATGGGAATTAGAGAGGTCAACCCTAGCCGGGGAAAACGAATCGCTTGTTTATTCTTCCCCTGTCTGCTGCGCATACATATGTATCACAAGTCTTTCTCGCAAGCCAGTACTCTAAAACTCATTGTCCGAAACATCTTCTCCCAAGTGGTGCAAGAAAAAGCAGGAAAGAAAAAAGCAGGGCAGAGACATGAAAGGGACAAGGCAGAAGGATATTAAAAGCATGGAAGTTCAGTTATGACAGCTACCTTTAAACTACTGAAAATTAAATTTTAACATGGCTGCTGAAGATAGCCACAGGGTTATTCTTCACACACACGGAAAGAGAGTCACACAAGGAATACTGAATTGGGTTTTATTACTGTCTTTGTTTTTACAATCGCTGCCCTTCAAGCTGTGTAAGGACAGATCTCGCTAGGAAAACAAAAATTAGTAAGAGAACTACATCTGAGTTTGGTAGGTGTTTATAAAATAAACATTATCTGTCCCATGGGGGAGAAAGTCAGATTCATCCCCAGGCAAGCTGATGTCTGGCAAACAGAGTTTCTGAGTATCAAAATTTCCTACAGGGACTTTAACATTTACATTTTTAAATAAATAAATAAATGGAGTTACAGATATGTATTTACTTTCACCAAATAAATCTTAACCAGAATGAAAGCCGGGCCAAGATGGGAGTGAAACTGTAACAGTGAAACTGTAACTGTGAATCTGTACTGTATTTTACCCATTCTTTCACAAATGAGAAATGTGAAGCAAATAATGGAAACAACACATGAATAGATAAAACTCCTAACACCTACAGTTACGGAGCTCTCCACTCCACAAGCAAATACTTTTCCACTGCATATACCGATTATTTTATTAACATGGACTAACTTTGATTGTAACACGTGTTTGCGATAACATCTCAGGAAAAGCACTTTGTAGAGAACATTATTTTCTTCCTCCCTAAATTTAGATAAAATAAAGTCCTAATACTTGTTCCATCACATTGTTACATGGCGCTTCTGCTATCTTGTCAGCACAAAACATGTAACTGTCTAATTAAAAAACAGGAGTAGTTACCTCTCACAGAAAAAAAAAAAATTAGGTAAGGTCTCATTATTCAGACTCATATATGGTCACATACAGTGTCTACTCATGGAAAAAGCTGCAGATGAACCACCCATACACAAACTACTGCGAACTCCTACTTTACAGCTCAGGCATTGACAAGTAAGAGCTTGTGTGGAGTAGACTTGAATTCAAATACGTGTCTCAAGTGACAACAAAAAGGACAGAATCAACACATAACTTACCCACTGTAGTCACAGACATAATTTGCCAGATCTGGATTTAGCTGTCATTACAACTTTTGCTTTCAAATGCAAAACAAAGTGATGTTATTTTCCTGTTCAATTTTATTCACGTTACATAGAATGCAGTAAAACTCGTCATGCCAGAGGATTTGCAAAGGGATGATGTGAAGATTAATTACTAGCTGCTCATAAAGCACCCTGCCTGTGGAAAGCCCTATGTGTAAAAATGACCCTGTTATCAAAGTTGTTGAGTGCTCCCAGTGCTCGCTTTCAGTGAACGGTATGGATATTTTTCCACAGCTCCTGAAAACCAAATCAATTGTGTTTAAATACCCACCTACAGTTTCAGGAAGTTTTGGCATTGTTTCTGTACCTCACTTCTGCAGGGGCTGGGGGTTAAACTGCCACGGATTTTGCTTAAACCCTATCTTTTCAGCTCAAAAGAAGTTAAATCAAGATATCACAGAACCAATGTCTGAAAGATACCTGACAAACGTACCCACGCATTCAGGCAACAAGTGAACACGGACCTTATCCCAGTGCCCCAATTACTTTGTGGAAACCAAAGACACTATTTGAAATAATAAAGCACAGATATTTCTGTGACTAATGGTATTTACTTGGTGAGTTAGCGCTGGAGCAAAATGATAAGGAGCAAGACCAAGCACAAAGAGCACTGCTTAACAAAATGGAGCCTGCAATGGTATGTATAATGTTTTAGTATCTTCTTGTTGTTTATATACACAAAATAATAAGGAATGAGAACACCTCAATGTTAATTAAATCACAACCCCAGAGGACTTCATATATTTTTTGAGAGATGGTTTCTTTGGTGACAGGTTTGCCAGCAGCTAGAGTTTGGAGTCTCCTGTACAAACACAACTTCATGCCCCGTATTGCCACATCGCAGAGATTAACATCTGAAGCATGATCATGCCTCTCTCTACCGGCATCCTTCTGCTCAGAAATAATCGACTATGCATACTGCCTGGAAAATGCCTCCACTGATACTCACCTTCTCCTCTGTGCTGATGGTATCTTAATACAATGAAGAAGCGCAGAAACTCATTGGCCTCATGTCTTTTGGGGGTTTTATCAATACTTGACCAAGTTTTTCCTTCTCCCCTTATACCATAGTTCCGTCAAAGAAAGGAAACATTACCTTGGAAACATCCTCGACAGCCCGGTGGAAAAGGCAAGCAGGGATGTCATTGTGGCACACAGAATTGCCCTGTTAGAACAGGCAGTTGGCCTACCTGAAGGTTAAAGAGGCTCCCACCAAAAACCTGCTTTGAATACTCCACACCGGAGCATGATGAAGGGGAGACATTTATACATGCCCCTGTGTGCCAAAGGGTGAAAAAAATCCACCCTCAGAGCACAACCCCGGCTGCATGAAACCCATTTCAACACACCATTGACAGAAATCCACACAAAAGCCAATCCACTCTCTCATACCACCAGTGTCCTATAGGAAGGCCAGAATGAAGCCATTGAGAAAAATGAGACATTCACATATAAATCAAGAAACGACAGCATCTTAGTGCTGAATGATTAAAAATCAGTGCAAAGCATGTTTTGTGTGCGGTTTTAATCACTGTTAGACATAATACGGGTGTAATCATATCACATTCTATGTGCATGTTCAAATAACACTGGCCGTGAAATTTTAAGTTGCATGTGTAAACGTGAATCAGATTCTTAACGACTGTATTCCATTCTATTGTACAGCTTTTGTACTGGTGATATCACCACCTTGCATTCTTCTCCAGCATCATTTTTCAGTAGGAAGAAACCCTGAAGGAATCTCCATGTTTTACGATCACATTACCAGTGTCTGGGCAGGGTATGATATGACTGTCAAATCAGAGCCCCAAAACGAGGCCTAAACCATCCAGACGGTGCAAACCGCGAGCCTTTGCTCTCGAATTAAAAGCATCTCTCACCTCTGAACTGGCCAACATGCCAGCAGGGATCCGCCGGCTTTGGGCTGGAGTGTCTCGGTGTAGCGATTTCGTGTCAGTGTTACGTTGAGATGGGAGGAATTAGAAGAAAAACGGGGGGGAAGGGGCGAAAGCCCCAGCGATACTGATAGAAAAGGTGGTAAGAAGGAGGTTAATGGACTTGACTGGGAACCCCCACCGAAACTGCAGGATTAAACATCCGCAGCATTACGAAGAGGGAACCAAACCCCCGCAGGCATTCCGGGAGCCCCCCACCCCCCCTCCTCACACACACAGAGCCCGGGGGTCCCGGCGCGGCCCCGCCGCACACATCGGCACAGGCGGCCCCGTCCCCGTGGATGCCCCGCAGGGCGGGGAAGCCGCCGGGGCCGCGTTGTGGCCGCCCCCAGCCGGGCCCGTCCAGGCTCTTACCGTGGCCGAGGCGACGTTGTTGTCCGCCAGGGTCAAGTGGTGCGGTTCCCACCGCCGCAGGAACTTGGAGGTGAGGATCTTGCTCAGAAACGTCCGGGGGTGCCGGATGACACACACCTGGATGTCCCCCTCCTGCAGCAGCTTGTACCTCATGCCGTTGCAGTGGAGCGGGGCTCTCCGGCACGGCGCGGCACCCATTTTATTCCCCTCGGGAGCGGACATCTCGCCCAGCAGCGGCTTGCTCTCCTCGGTCTGCCTGCGGTCACTGGCCCCGCTGGAGCAGCCAGTGCGATCCATGGCAGAGCCCCTCGGGTCCGGGTGGCGCTCGGTGGCAGCCGCTTGGGGACACCGGTCTCTACGGGCGGTAGAGACGGGTGTAACCAAGTAAAATCAAGATAAAATAAAAATTAAAAAAAAAAAAAAAGAAAAAAGAAGAAAATCAAACCACACTGTGTGGATTTAAAAAAAAAAAAAAAGGGAAAAAAATGTGACGGGAAAAAGAAAAAAATGCTAAAGGAAGATGGGGGAAGGGAGTGAACCGCACCGGAGAGGGCAGGGGGAAAGGGAAGCGATAAAAATCGTTATTCGAACTTCCCAATCCGCCCTCCGGCGGGTCTCCTTCGCCTTCAGAGCGCCGCGTCCATGCTCGCGGCCAGGCGCCGGCCGAGCAAAAAGGGTCGGCTCCCGGCGAGGGCTGCGGACAAAAGCCGGCGGCTGTGGCTCCCAGCGGAGGCTGCGGAGAGTCCGGCCACGGGTCCGTCCTTCCCCGCAGGCTGTGTCCGCGGGACTGAACGGCGGCGGCGGTCGCGGTCTGCATATACGTGGGTGCGGGTGTGCGGGAGGGGTGCGGGAGGAGCGGGGGGTGGGGGGAGCGGGAGGGGGGGGGGAAGGGGGAGAATGTGTGTGTCCACGCGCGCCGCCGCCGCCGCCGCCGCCGCCGCCGCCGCGGGAGGAGAAGGAGGCGGCGAGAGCAGCGAGCGCTGCCGACAGCCTCCAGCCGGAGCCGCGCCGGGCTCACCCGATTGGCTGCTGCGGGGTCATGTGCCGCCCTCCCTGACGTCAATGGCGGCGGAGCCGCCGAGGGCAGCGGCCGCGCGAGGTGCGCGGGAAGCGGCGCGCGCGTGTCCCTGCCGCCCCTCCCCTTCCCTTCCCCTCCCTCCTCCTCCCCCTCCCCCCGTCCCTGCCCCTCAGGGGGGGCGCGTCCCGTCCCGTCCCGTCCCGTTCCTTTCCGTTCCGTTCGGTCCCGTCCCGTTCCCCGCCCCTCCGCCTCTCCTCGGTGGGGCGCGGCTGGAGGTTGGCGGACACACGCGTGCCGCGCTCCGCATCCCCGAGAGGGGCGGCTCCGCCGCTACCCCTCTGCCGTGAGGGGAGCCCCCAGCGCAGCGGGGGAAGATGTGAGGGGAAGGCGGCGGGGATGGTGAGGGAGATTAGTGAGGTAAATCTCGCTTGGGTTCGTCCCCCGCGCTGACGGGAGCCCCGGGGGTGGTGGTCTGTGCCGCGGGGAGGAGGGAAGCGTGAGGTGCCGGTGCGCTACAGGTTGAGTTTCGGGGTACGCGCTCCGGCGGTAGGGGGTTGTGCAAAAGGCGAGGGAAGCCCGGTTCTCAGTGGGCGCCGCTTCAGGTGTGCCGTTGGATGCACGGCGGGACTGGGAGCCGCTGCGCTCCGCTGAAGCGCTAGCCGGGGAAGGGCAGGGATCGGAGCGCAGGTACGGGGGAGAGGCACCTCGCTAGTGCAGTGGTGAGTGTCCTCTGATGGTCTGTGAGCTAGAGCAGGCGTTTACCCGGAAAAGAATGCTGAGCTCCCTTACTAAGACCTCTAACTGCTTAACAGCTCACCTGTGTGCAGTGTGTGTGCCGCGTAAAGAGGAATGGCACCGTTTATACTTGCCTAACTCTCGGCTATTTAAAAGGTAGCTGTAGAACTTGGATTCCCTTTCCAATTTCCTCATTTGAACAACGAGGTTAGGACTCTGCGTACTTTATATAGTACATGCACTTGCCACTGAGCTGTGGAACTCATCATAGTGGGTATTGCAAAGGTCCAGAATTCAGAAGGAGTTTACAAGGCTGGTTTATTTAATGCTAGAAAAATACTTGGAGAAAGCAAGTTTAAAAGATTTAAGCTCATTTCTAGCTGAGGGAGGTTGGGAAAGGGATGATCTTTCTGACAAGCCAGTTATTTCACAAAGTGTACATGTGGCTGGGTCTCTCGTGGCATCTCCTAGTGCAATAGATCTCAAACGAAAGGTGCCAGCAGGTACGAGGGAAGCCATGAGCCTACCAAAGAGAAAGCTCTTTCATCTGATATGTTCACATCACGAGTCACACAGATTATCTGTGAGAGAGGCAAGCTGCAGCTAGAAAGGTTTGGGAGCTGTTGTCATAAAGCCTTTTGTAGTGACTGCTGTCAAAGACAATACATGACCTGCTGTACCACAATTAGTGCAAGCATGTCCATCAGTTGTGTTGTTACAGAGTTGAAACAGGCTTGCATTTGACAGGAGAATTGCTGTTTAAACATTTTCAGGAGGGAAGGCTTTGTCATCTATCGATTACTAGCAAATTTGAGGGACATTTTTGTTGTATGCTAGTTACGAAACTGTAAAAAAACTAGAATGTTTCTGGAGTACTCGTAAGTACCAGGTGATAGAAGGATGCAGAAGTACACAATTTGGCAAAGGTGAGCAGAAAGATGCTCATTTAATGAATAACACAACCAACAGGAAGACAAAAATCTCTTACAGAGGTTCAGATTGTCAGTAGCTTTTAGCCCTGGTAATTACTTACCTCCCGAACCTAAACCAACCCACTAGGTATTGTGCACTAAACAGTAGAGGCAGTTCCCACAGAGTTTTGGATACCATATACTGCAAGGGGTAAATGATGCCTGTATTTACACTGAAGTAAAAGTAGATATAATTGTAGCTGTATGTGCATCTGCAAAAGAGATGACTTGCAAACTGAACTTTAAAAGGACAGCTCTATTTAGGTGTAAGCTGTTCACTGCAGCAACTGTCTTCTTCTAAGAATTTGTAGGATACCCAGTACAAGGGACACCTGTTCTGGTTTGACCCAGCGCACTGTTGTGGTACAAACAGTAATGTATCAATAGTAGAACTGTGCGCATACACTCATCTGCACAAACATATCTTCCCTCAGCAAGAACACTTCCCTCAGCAATAACTGCAACCAGAGTGACTATTTAGGTGAAAGTTTGTGCAAACTAGCCACCTGCTCACCACTGCTTTAAATTTACCATAACTGTAATTTCTGAGGTCTGCTTGCCAGAAGGAGGAAGATTTGTGAAGAGGCTGGTGTTCTTAAGTGAAAATCCTAGCAAATTAAAGCAGATGTTTTCTACTCATGTTCCATAGAAGGTAGCAAAAGAAAAAACCAAGGCTAGTCTATAGGGGCAACCCGCAAAACACCTAAAAGGATCCAAGTGTCCGCTGGAAATCCACCATTCCAAAGTATTGAAATCCACTGAGATATTGCAGAAGCCCAGTGCATCAGGCAGTGCTGCTCCTGTGCATGACGGAGGTCCAGGACCTCAGAGGGGCTCTGCACTTGCAGCTCCCACTGAACCCATGCTCTCAGGCTGCAGGTGTTCTCTCTCAAGTGAGCTTGGCGCAGCACGCTAAGATCAAGGTATTAAATCTCACACTGCCCGCCAGAATGGGGCGACTGAAAGCCCTGTCTAGGCAAGTGAAATTGAAACACACTGCTTCCTGCACAGCTTGCCAAAACGTGCATCCAACCTTCCCTAAATAGCTGGTGTATGACCCAAGGCTAAGCACATGAAAATTAACGCCCCTCCTCATATCACTTATAAATTACACCAACACAAGTTGGATGAAGTGCATTCCTGGCTTTGTGTTTTTCCTCTTCTGGCTCCATGTGGCCCAATATCTCAGGTATACATGCTTGGCAGTATTTCAAAGTGGGTTTTGGGGATTGCTATATGGTTTGGTTTTCTCCTCAGAACCTCATTTTTGTGTGCAAATCAAACCAGAAGTTTATTGTGAAAGTAGGAGATACTCATATAATAAAACCTGAGCAACTAAATCATAATAAATAGTAAATCAGTGGAAACGTACCTCTAGTTACTCACAAGGTGCTTATGGGTGTGCTGTTGGTTTTGAGTAATTCAAGAATCTGTGAGGTTTTCTACAAAATACTTCATTTCTGTGCTGGAAAGGAAGCACGGTCTTTGGAAATGAAAACTGAGTAGTTCACTGTCATTGATACTGCTATCAAGTAGTCCTTTGAAGTCAAGGCCTCTAGATAAATTTGAAGGAGGAAAGAGATAGAGACTTCGTCTGCTTTGCAGAAATATCAGTGCAGTTGGACCAAAATGAGAGTAGGGCTGGTGGGGAAGCAGGCAGAGGTAAAGAGGAGAGGTGACAGAAGGACAGTTCAGATCTGCGTGCCAGTCCTGTGCAACACTCCTGAGCTCTGCCTTTTCATTTGCCTTTCTTTGTATCTTGCTCTGTATTTATTATTCACTGCCTTTTCATAATAGGCCTTGTAAAGAGAATCATCACTTCCTGAAAGACATCATAGCCTGGAAAAAAATTTGCAAGTACCAGGTCCAGTCTTAATCAAAAAACATATTTCAGCATTTGGTCTCTTGTCTGTGTACACGCAAGTCCACCAGATGTTTTGCAGAGGCCATTGCTGGGCAGCAAAACAGAAGCACTGTCCTGACATAGCTTCTTAAGCTTGATAGCACCAACTTATAAACGTGTTAAAATGATGTGACATTCTGAAGGAAAGGAAAACGGCAATTTTTGAGTAGTGCTCGGTGCCAGTAATACAGCTTGTGTAACAGTAGGGGGCTTAGAAGACACATGAGAAAACTTGAGATGCCAAAACCTATGCAGGAAGAATATACTGCCTGAAGGCACCTTACTTGAGAGTAAATCCATACAGTGGCATGGGCCAGATACAAACGCTGAGATGCCTCAAAAGGCGATGTGCTTATCAGGGGAGAGAGCACTGCCCCAGAGGGGCTTTGCTGGATTTGTTGTATACTTTAAAAGAGAAAACAAGAAAAAGGAATAAAGTACACCCTTACTACACCTTTTAATTATTCCTGATTTATTTTATAGAATGTTACTATATTAACAGATGTTTTGGCATACTCTTTCCCCAGGTCAATCCTTTTATTGTCTCTCACTGAAGTTTTCTGTCAGAGGCTGTGATGGCCTACCACATTCACACTTTCTGTCAAAAAACATTGCTGCTCTTGTCTGGTTACTCTGTCCTTGGGAATTGTCTGTACAGAGGTGCGAGATTCAGTTTTTCCAGGCAGAGAAGCAGGCACTAGGAATTCTTTATTCAATATCCATTCAGACTCTCACACAGCAGCTGTCCCTTCTCACGTTTGAATCCTCGATGCATATTACAGGTAATGGAGCTTTCTTCCTTTCACCACACAGAGGTGCTGTGTGGATTATGGAATTCATTAGTCAATGCTTGCAAATTGCCACTGTTGACTCAGAGCAAATTCCTGCTATAAGATTCACTAGTCAGCTCATTTTCATAACAATGCTGTATTGATAAAAAAATACTTTTAAATCATTCTTTAGTGAAACTGGGGAATCCAACACATTCAAGGAAACATATAAAACATAAAAGAGATGCTGTCTTAGTAATGCTAAGCGGCTTGCATTTGAAGTTTGTTTAAATTAATCAGCATGGTGGTGTTAAGGGGATTCAGTAAGTTGTAAAACTTTGGGAAACAGAATTATTTCCCAAACGGAATTGTTTCCCTAAAAGGGGTGATGGACATTTAAAACCTAACTAGATAAAGATTAAAGAAACCACCCTGCAAGGAAGAGTTCTTAGTTGCCCCTAAGGGAAGGAA